CCCCCCCCTCCCACTCCAACCCCGAGGGAGAAAGAAGTTTCGCGGAAAGATAAACTCCCTAATAAAGAATCAAAGTTACGCGGATGCGTTTCTTTGATGATGGTAACGAGCGCCAGCTGTATCGATTATAAAGCAATTTTTCGCTTCGCCCCGCGGGGGCGAAACCTTGCACGCCGAGGCGACTCAATTAGGTTAGGTCCGCCATATTGGATCTTCGTTCTATAGGTCGCGTCTACACACCTCTGCCAAGTTTCGATTACACTACGTTAATAAAGCGTCCTCTACTTCACACGATGTTGTGCGTTATTTACACAGTTACGATTCAGGTTCTTTCCGAACGAGAAATTTCAATTTCGTCGCGTAGTAATTAAAATGAATCTAAGAAAGAGCGGGTTGTCTCTTGCAGCTGGGCCACGATAAATATCGATAATACCGCAGATTATACATTCATTGTAAATTCATTTTCTCACTGTGAATTAGCCTTTTCGTTAAATTGTTCGAATGAACGAGAGGTTACTTCTTGTTTGAAATGATTATATTACTACGAGCGTGTTTATTGTATTACTTCGAAATAAGTCGTCGTTTCTTGCATTTTCAAATAACGACGATTGAGAATAAATGGGCTGAAATGACATGTCAAATAATTTATTTCACTATTTGTTCCGTAACATGATATTATAATAAATCAATATTGAAATAATATACAGTGGGACAAAATAAATTTTTTCCAACTTTTTTTTTTAATAAAATATTATAATATAAAAGAAAACTAATTTTGTTAATTTATATAGTAAATTATATAATGTGCAATATTACAATAATAATAATAATTATTATTATTAGCATTATATAGTGTTAAAATATAATAAAAAAAAATCACGGATTCATTTTAGTAGAAAGTGATTTTTGGCCCACCCTGTATAATAATAATAATAATAACTTAATTATTATTATATAATGTTAAAATATAATAAAAAAAAATTACGGATTCATGTTAGTAGAAAGTGATTTTTGGCCCACCCTGTATAATAATCATATTAAAATAATAATAATATAATTATTATCATTATATAATGTTAAAACATATAATTAAAAAATTACGGATTCATTTTAGTATAAA